CCCGGGGCGGTCCCTTTCCAATCCCGAGTCTGAGCTCCGCTGGCCTCACGCGGACGCCAGTCCGGGGGGTCGGGGCGCCGGGAGACGCGTGCGGCGCGGCGACAGCGCGCACTCCCCTCGGGCACGCACGCCGCGCCCGCGGCCGGCGCCAGCTGACGGGGCGCGCACTCGCCAGCCGTCCCGGGAGGGCTGGATTCGGTCCCCGGCGGCGGCATCCGGAGCGGCGGGCGCTCTCGGAAAGCCAGGAGCCTCACCTTGAAAAAAGGGAAACAGGCCCAGGGCCCGGAAGGGACGGGCAAGGTCACTCTGCGTCAGAGATAGGCTGGGACGAAGGGAGGTGGGGGCAGGGGTCGTGCCAGGGTCCTGCGTGGGCCCTAGAGGATTCAACCGGAAGCCTGGCCCAGGTGAGGGCCCTTCATGGAGACGCTGCTGTCACCGCTCCTGGATTCTCATTTGGATCCCGTCCCTCTCTCCACACCCCGCAGGGCTCTTTATGGGGTGGCTGCCAGAGCCATCTGGACTGGAAGGCCTCCCGTTGGCAGAAGGGACCGCCCCCAGTCCAGGAACTGGGAGGGAGGAAGGGAGGAGGAGATCCAGTTTGGCGCCTAGCTCTAACGGGGAACCAGAGCTGGGACAACAGTCTGCTCAGGGTCCACGCCTAAGGCCCCGCTGCTAGCCTGGGGCTGCTGTCAGAGTCCTGGGGTTCACCAGGCAGATGAAGTTGACAGGCTGAAGGACCTGTCAAAGTGGAGATTTTGTACAAGTGTGTTTGCTTCTCCAGCCCCTGCTTACCAGGCTGAGGGACATTTCTGCCTCATGTTTTGGAGCCTCCAGTCTTACCCTTCCTCTTAGCCTGGCTTCCCACCTCTTTGACACCTCAGTTTCCTTGTTGGAATAAGACCGTAGGTCCTGATGTGCCAGGACAGCGCTGATTTATGCCTAGTAATCCAGCGAAATTATTAATAGCCCTTCCCTTCACGTGTAAAGGTGTTCTTCTTTGAAATATATATATCACACCCTCGAATTCAATGTCATTTTGTTATGTTGATGAGGAAAAAATAATCGATTTTCAGCCTGGGCCACGTCTGTGTGATGTCTTCACATCTCCCCATGTCTGCGTGAGTTTTCTCCAGGTCCTTTGGTTTCCTCCCACATCCCAAAAATGTGCATGTAAGGTTAATTCACCTGTTTCCATCATCTCAGTATGAGTGAGTGTGCGTGCGTGTGTGTGTGTGTGTGTGTGTGTGTGTGAGAGAGACCCTGCGATGGAAGGGTGTCCTGTCCAGGGTGGGTTCTGGCCTTGCATTCTGAGCTTCTGGGATAGTCTCTGGCCACCTACAACCCTGAACAGGAAGAAGCAGATTGGAAAATAATCTTACTTGTTTTTAATTTTTCTTAAGTGTATGTATAGCTGACATTTACTTCAATGTTTACTATTAGAAGTGTTTTGGGGTCTTTATTTAGAAGTTTGGTGATGTTTTTTGGGGCCAGAAATATGTCATGGGAACTTAACTCTTGTTTATATCAATTAGCCTATGGTAAAATTGGTTTCTTTATACGTTGTTTTCCTTAAAGTTGAAATTTCCAGGAACCTATCGGTGACATTAAGTGAATACTTACTGTAATGTGGTCACTATCTTACTCAGCTCAGATTTCATCCTCTCCTCTTCCCACAGTAAAAGAGCAAAGCTTGAGACAAGAACTTATGTGGAGGTATTTTATTTTGAGTGGTAACCTGGGGAAAGGAGTGAGGGACTAAGGGAGAGCAAATAGAGAAGGAGGGAAGCCCAACACAAGACTGTGTAACTGAGCTGGTCACTGGCCATGGCCAGGAACCATGACAGTGCTGTGCTGAGACATATTGGAGCTAGAGGCCAAAGGAAAAAATTAGCAATACTGATCCTATCTTTACTTAAGATTTTAATATTTTGTTTATATGGATTTTTATACTGATTTTGATTTTTTAAAATATATTAAAATATAATTAACTTGATTATTTAATTTCTCTGTGACCCCTTAAATTTTGCACCTAAGGCAATGCCTCACTCATTTCACTTGCCTTAGCCTTGTCCCAATTCTCCTTGCTGTGAGTGACTGGGATTCAATCCCACTGGGACCTTATAAGAGCTATTTAGAATGAGGAGGTATTTGTTTCCAATTCTGGCTCCATTGGTCAACTCCCTTGCACTTTTCCAGGTTGCACAGGTGTGAGAGATGAACAGTATTATTCAACTAAACTATTTGCCATTGCCTATGAGTATATGTAGATCCATATCTTGAACCATTTTGCCCTCCATAAAAAATGAATGTCTAAGTGCACTACTTACAGCTGGGCCCATTGGGAAGATTTCCCTCAACCATTGTCCTTTAGGGCCACCCCTAGGTGGGGCTGTGTGACAGTAACAATCCATTTTTTGGCTCATATCAAACTAACCCATCTGTGAGGCAGGCCTGAGTGTTTTTCCCCCACCAGTTGGTTATAGAGAACAATCCCACAAGACTGTAGTTTCAAGTTAAAGGAGAAGTGTTAGTATAGCTAAGATAAGTGGCGTAGGAGTTAGAGCCACCTGTTCATTAACTTACATGAGTCTTATGGACCTGCTCAGTCCTGATCCTGACTCTATCATTTGTTTCTGCTATAAGGTGGATTGCTGATGTGCCTGCTTAATCTTATGACTGGATAGAATCTGGTAATACCCAACTCGTACTGGACATCTCTAGTTTCATAGACCCTTGATGTCCCACTGCCACAGCCGCTTTTCAAAAGGCAAAAAGCTCTCTGCTGCACAAGGCATGACCTTGCTCTGGAACCTTAGAGATCTGTACTGAAACTCTTTTTTTAGGATTAATGGGAGACTCTGTCCAGCATCTTGTCACCACAAACACCTCTAGCACCATCCTTCTGCTGGGGCATATGGAACAGATAGTAGAACCTGGCACTATACTCGGACATACTGTAGAGCTCTCTTGCTCTGGGCTTCACTGACCCCCAACAAAGGGTCAGCGTAATATTCCCACCAAGCTTTATGTCTTCTTACTGGTGGAGGGTACAGGGTACAACAACTTGTCTTTACCTTACAGGGGATGACCTGGCATGCTCTTGACTACTGGATCCCTAGTAACCTAACCAATTTGCTTCAAAATAATATGAGATGGAAGAAGCGAGCAAGCATATAGATACAATAAGATTGGCTATGATGGTGGTTCTAGGGGTTCATTTTACCAGTGTGTCTGCTTTTACATACATTTAACTCAGCCCAGAATAAAAAGGTAAGAAAAACTTCACCAGTAGAGCAGGCCCTGAATCTTCATACTGCCCCGCCACCCCCATCCCCATCTTTTGGCATGCAGTATCTTATTGATGGCAAATTAGCATGATGCCACCAATACAGTGAACCATCACTATGTTCTATGGACTACAAAGACAATCAAAGTCACTAAAAACTATGCTGTGAAAGAGAGCAGGAGAATTCACATGGCCCAGGGGCAAGAACGTACTGCTATTTATCTCACATAAAAGCAAAGTTTTTTTTGCTATTGTTTATCTTCACCCGAAGGTATTTTTCCCATTGATTTTTAGAGAGATTGGAGGGGAGGGGGAGAGAGATTGACTCTCACATCTATTGGTTGAATCCTGCACACACCCCAATGGTGTGGGGACTGGGCAGGAATTGAACCTGCAACCCAGGTACATGCCCTTGATGGGAAACAACTGGAGACACTTGGTGGATGGGCGGATGCTCCAACCACTGAGCATACCAGCCAGGGCAAAACAAACAGGTTTTGGTTCCCCACCATGAAGATTATCGAGAAGAAAAAATCCTTGATATTGGAGCTAATCTTCACAATTCCTCCCAGGACTCCCAGGATATAGTTTTACTTGTGAGTTAATAAATTGGTAAAAAATGTGAGGGTATTAGAGCCTCCCATTTGGCCCTTTCTACCATAATGGCCCTTATTTAATGAGACAGGGGGTAATGCTAGGGTCTTGCCAGATGCTAAGTGTATCTGTCTCACTTAGGGATCAGGAGCTACAGTGTGAATCTTTCTTTTTTTCTTTTTCTTTTCTTTTCTTTTCTTTTCTTTTCTTTTCTTTTCTTTTCTTTTCTTTTCTTTTTTTTTGAGAGAGAGAGAGAAACACTGATGTGAGAAATATCAATCAGTTGCCTCCCATATGCACCCCAACAGAGGATGGAACCCACAGCCTGGGTATGTGCCCTGACCAAGAATCGAACCTGCCACCTTTTGGTGTACGGGATGATGCTCCAACCAACTGAGCCACACCAGCCAGGGCTACAGTGTGAATTTTTAGACCTATTAGACCAGCTTACACAAGAACTCATTTACCACCTGGCTTTCATGAGCCTCCAATCTAACTGGGAGAACATGATGGTGTTTCCCATCCTCTGGCATCAATGCCAACTCATATCCTGAATCCAACAGCACTTGAAAGGCCTGGGTCTTTCTCTTTCTTCAGGACATAGTTACTCTGGTAAAAGGCCACTGTTAT